GGTCCCTTCCCCCACCTGTCTGCCCGCCCACCAGGCAGTCTGCAGTACTGGCTTCAATGAAGACAGTTCGGTTTGTAAAAGGATTCCAGAGTATTCTAGATTCCGGCTACAAAGATCAAACTGGAGGCATCCTCCCGACTCCCAGGACCCACCGTCCATAGAGGCCTGACCCCCTGGGCCACGCTGCCAGGTGCTTCCTCAACAAACCCTTTGTTCACTGGTCACCCCCTTGATTTCTTTCTTGGTTATGGCCAGACAGATGTACATACCTCAGACAAGACAGGTCCAGGAGCAGAAACTCAGCAGGACAGGGTGACATGCCATTAGCCCTCCAAGGCCCCCTAGCAGGCAGAAGGCACCCGTGGTCCAAGGAAGAGGAAGGTCACTTGAAGGCAGTGTGTTTGCTTTTGAAGTTTTCTGAGAAATTAGAGACAGCAAGAAAGGAACTGGCTCTGGTCGGAGAAAGGGTGCCCTCTAGTGGTCTTTCCACGGTAGGAAATACTTTTCTTTTGACTGCCACTGCACATAGACATAAAATCAAAAAGACAGCATCATAAAACAGTCCTGACAGGCAGTGTGTATATTTCTGTTATACTTATTTTTGTGTTAATTATGAAAAAATTGATTCCCAGTCCATTATGTGGCTCCCTGATTCATGGTCTGTTAATGTCTTTGAAAAGCAAACTCAGGGCTGGAGAGATGGTACAGTGGGAAGTATGTTTGCCTTGTACATGGCCAACCCAGAATTGGGTGCCCAGCATTTTGTATGGTCCCCAAGTACCACCAGGAGTGATTTTGGAGTGCAGAGCCAGGGATAAGTTCAAGGAAAGAAGGGAGGGAGTAATTTTTTTCAATTTTTTTTATTTTTTAATTTAATTTTTAATTTTTTAGCATAATTAAAAAAATTATTAGTGAATCACCGTGGGTACAGTTACAGACTTACAAGCTTTTGTGCTTGTGTTTGAGTCATACAATAGTCAAGTACCCATCCCTCCACCAGTGCCCATCCCATTTTCCACCACCAATGGTCCCAGCATCCCTCCCACCACCCCCGCCCCTTCCCCTCCACCCCACCCCGCCTCTGTGGCAGGGCATTCCCTTTTGTTCTCTCTCTCCTTTTGGGTGTTGTGGTTTGCAGTAAAGGTATTAAGTGGCCATCATGTTCGGTCTATAGTCCGCTTTCAGTCCACATCTTCCATCCCGAGCAGGCCTTCCTAGAACCCTTTACTTGGTGGTCACTTCTCTGTCTGAGCTTCCTTTTCCCCCAGCATGCGAGGCCAACTTCTAAGCTGTGGAGCAGTCCTCCTGGTACTTATCTCTACTGTTCTTGGGTTTTAGTCTCCCATTCTGTTACTTTATATTCCACAAATGAGTGCAGTCTTTCTATGTTTGTCCCTCTCTTTCTGACTCACTTCACTTAACATGACACTTTCCATGTTGATCCACCTATATGAGAGTTTCATGACTTCATCTTTTCTAACAGCTGCATAGTATTCCCTTGTGTAGATGTACCATAGTTTCTTTAACCAGTCATCTGTTCTCGGGCACTGGGGTTTTTTCCAGATTCTGGCGTCAATTTAATATTTTTTTAATTGAATCACTATGAGATAGATTAATTACAATCAATTTAATTTTTTTTAATTGAGTCACTATGAAATAGATCCTTACAAAGCTGTTCATGGTTAGGTTACAGTCATACAGTATTTTAACACCCATCTCTCCTCCAGTGTTTTTTATTTCCCAATTTATAGTGTCCCCAGTTTCTTTCCCATCACCCCCCATCCCATCCCCAGCCTGCCTCTATGGCAGGCACCTCTCTCTCCCTCCCTTCCTCTCTGTCTCCCTCTCAGCCTCTCTCCCACTTCCTCCCCCCCCTTCCTTCCTCTCTGTCTTTCTCGCTCGCTCGCTCACTTGCTCTCTCTTGCTCTCTCACTCTCTTGAGGCTCTGTCCCTAATGGTCACCTCCAAAACTGCATCATTCACCCATGCACAATCCCATTTGTGGATTATACTGAAGATGAATAAGGAAGAGACAATTACTGATGCCCTCATTCATGTGAAATAAGAACCACTAAAGCAAATGAACTGGCAAGAGTATCTCATCCCAAATATAGGAAAATTGAAACCCATTGCATGTTCAGGGTTATTTCATTTTCTCATGATCCTGGCACTTTGGAAAAGAATGAAAGCAAGGGGCTGGAGCAACAGCACAGCGGGTAGGGTGTTTGCCTTGCACGTGGCCGACCCAGGTTCGATTCCCAGCATTCCATATGGTCCCCCGAGTACCACCAGGAGTAATTCCTGAGTGAAAAGCCTGTGCATCACCGGGTGTGACCCAAAAAGCCAAAAAAAAAAAAAAAAAAAAGCAAATGAAGCCAAGGTGGGCCTGCGTGATCTCGGGCCTGTGTCCTCTGCGCAGGACCCCGTTTCCCTGCCTTTCTCGGGGGTATTAGACTTCATAGTCTCAAGCTGCTTCTCTTGCGGGCATTCTGTGATGACCTGTCCTGGGGTGAGACCTGGGGGCCTGGCAGGAGCACTCGTGTGAAGGAGCTGCTGGGCTAGGCTGGGGAGGTGGCACAGGCTCTGTAGGGTGCTGTGTGCACTGCCCTAGGGGCGCAGGGAGGCAGCCCCGCGCCGGGTGCCAGGGTGGGCTTCCTTTTCTGTGGACTCTGTAAAAACTCTTCTCAGGACCCTTGGACACGAGCAGCCTTTTGAGTTAGTGGAACCTGGTGCCCCAGAGGAGGTCGTGGACAACCCCCACCCCCTGAATTAAACAGTTGCAGAGAACCCAGGCCAGAGCCCCTCAGAGTGACTCCCCTTGGGACTGGCTCTGTCTCCCCTGACCTCTGGGTGAGCGCCAGCTCCAGGAGCACCCCTCTGGGGATCTCACAGGCTCTGCCCCCAATAGGCAGGGGGCTAGGGGGCCAGGAGGGCAGGGGGAGCCTCCCATTGGGGATGTTAATGCAGGTCAGATTATCTAGGCATTGCTGGGGGCTGCCCGAGTCAGGCCCTGTCCCCAGATTTCCACAACCTCAGCACCGTCTGGGAGCCTTGGGCAGAGGAAGCAGCTGCAGGGACAGGCAGCAAACGGGCATGAGGCACAGGCTGCTGCGTGAAGCCGTGTCCAGCCTCCCCAAGCAGCTGGCAGTTCAGAGACGGGTGGGAGAGATGGCTTCTGTGTCAGGAAATCCCGGGAGCGGCCTCGGGCGCTGGTCAGACCCTTTCACCCACACTCTGTGCCATTCCTCCACTCAGGACTTCCGCCACAGGGAATCTGTCCCCAGACCGCCTCTTGACCACGCCCACATTTCTTCTTCTTTTTTAAATTTTTTTAATTTATTTTTGGCTGGAGCGATAGCACAGCGGTAGGGCGTTTGCCTTGCACACAGCCAACATGGCCGACCCGAGTTCGATTCCTCCGCCCCTCTCGGAGAGCCCGGCAAGCTACCGAGAGTATCTTGCCCACGCGGCAGAGCCTGGCAAGCTCCCCGTGACGTATTCGATATGCCAAACACAGTAACAACAAAGTCTCCAATGGAGACGTTACTGGGCCCGCTCGAGCAAATCGATGATCAATGGGAGGGCCTTTACTTTTACTTATTTATTTTTTATTTTTTTATTAATGAAACACCATGAGGTACAGTTGTAGACTTACACATTTTTGTGCTTGGGTTTCAGTTATACAATGATCAAGTCCCCATCCCTCCACCAGTGCCCATTCTCCATCATTTACATGTTTTTTTAAAATTTTTGTTAGTGAAACACCATGAGGCACAGTTGTAGACTTACAAATTTTTGTGCTTGGATTTCAGTTATACAATGATCAAGTACCCATCCCTCCACCAGTGCCCATTTCCCACCACCACGGGTCCCAGTATCCCTCCCACCCCCCAGGCCCCCCATCCCAACCCTGCCTCTGTGGCAGGGCATTCCCCTTTGTTCTCTCTCTCCTTTTGGGTGTTGTGGTTTGCAAAAGAGGCAATGGGTGGCAATCATGTTTGGTCGATAGTCTACTTTCAGCAACCCACATTCCTCCTTCTCCGATCCCCGCATTTGCACACTAGCAATGCACACCCCGTGTACAAAGTTTTGCAAGTAGCCTTAAGTCCGTGGCCACAAGGCAGTCAGCTCAGTATGGGCAGGACCGTGACAGAAGAGGGACAGGGAGAGGCGCGGGGACCCCGGATGCCACCCGACTGTTGTCGTGAGGCCCACAGCAAAGTATAGACTGTGTAAAGCGCTGGTCACAAAATGCCACGCCGCCCAACCTGGGGCTGTAGTACGTGCAACCCTCTAGCCCCCGAGGGTCACACACAGCAACAATGTGTGGATGCAGCACGCCCCCCTGGGGCATCACTGTCTGCCCCCTTCCCCGTCACCTGCTCCCAGAGCAGTGCTGTCACCACACACAGGCCCCAGTGCTGCCTTGATCCCTGCCAGCCCCCGACGGAGTGGCTGTCAGGACTGGCTTGATCCAGAGTCTTTAAATGCCTCCATAGGCATAGGGAGGTCGTGAGCTGAGGGACCCCCATAGGTGCCGTCCCAGGCTCCTGTGGGTTGGTGGGGTGCCCCTGGCCTCCAGCACCTGGTGTTGACTGCTATATCTCTCTGCTCCCCTTCCCATACATCTTTAAGCATGTGGCATTGCTGCCTCTCTGCCCACTGATGCCCACACCTTCCCCCACAGGAAGGTGAATGTTCCTACCTGCTTTCCAGGGTATAGACTGACCAGGCAGAGAATCGCTTACAAGCCAAGGTGAGGGGGCGAGGGGTTCCCTGACAGGCCAGAGCCTGCTGAGAATGCGGGTGCTGTCTGTCCCCTTATTTCTAGCTGCACTCTCCCTGGAGCCCTGGATTTTGAGGGGGCAGGGGGTGGAGGTGACAAGCTCCCGTGCCTCCCCCAGGTGTGGCTGTGGGTGTTGTGGGCATTGCTGAGGCTGGCTGCAGGACTCTGCTACCCCCAGAGCTCAGTGGCTGTTCTCTCGTTCCTGCCATTCCAGGGATACCACATCCAACTCCTTGACGCCCGAGGATGTGGAAGATTTGCACCTGGGGCAGGATGCCGAAATCTGCCTGCTGCGCTCCGGAGAACTGATGTGAGTGACGCACGCCACCCTGAGGGAGGCCACGGTGGGGGGGGGGGGGGGGGGGGAAGTGCTCCCTGGCCTGCGCTGGGGAGCACCCTGAGGTGCACACTTGGCTGATTTGGCTCACCTCTCCTCCGCTTTAGGTGTTGTTCATGAAGGGGTCAGTATTTCCTTTGTAGTTCACACTGCTGGGTTGTTCCTTTTTCTTAACTAGTTCTATTTTAGGCACCGTGATTGACAGTACTGTTAATAGCCAGCATCACACATACATCAGAGGCCCCAGAGTGTCTGCTACCCTCCATATTTCCTATCCCCTGGCCCAGGATGAGCGAGCTTCCCACTGAAGAGCAGTTCCCAGTTCCTGCTGCCTCTGCCGTTTGAGGTTTCCTCACTCTGTTTGTTTTTGAATCACTGTGAGATACAGGTGCAACAATTACAAAGCTTTCATGTTTGAGTTTTAGTCATACAATTCAAACAAGCATCCCTCCAACCAGTGCACATTCTCCACCACCATTGTCCCCAGTGTTCCCACCCCCCCACCCCCCCCGCCCCGACTTTCCAACCCTACCCCTGATTCCATGGCAGACATTTTCCCCCAAACACTCTACTTTGGGGCACTATGGTTTGCAATACAGATACTGAGAGGCCATCACGTTTGGTCCTTTATCTACTTTCAGCACACATCTCCCACCCTGCACGATCCCTCCAACCATCATTGACTTAGTGATCCCTTCTCTATTCCAGCTGCCTTCTTCCCCAGCTCATGAGGCAGGCTTCCAACCATGGAGCAATATTCCTGGCCCTTGTGTCTACTGTCCTTGGGTGTCAGTCTCATGTTATGTTATTTTATATTCCACAACTGAGTACCTCTCTTTATCTGACTCATTTCAATCCTCCGTTTGTCCCGGGTTTGTTCATTCCTTCTGACAAGCCTCACTCCACTGCTGGGATTTCAATTAGTAATTCAGTGTGGCCACCAGTCAGCCTGGCAGGCGCACAGCTCGCTCGGTAGTGGCTTCCGCCGCTGGGGACCTCAGCACCCTGCCAGCTCCCTGTCTGCTTCTGCCAGAGGGGACAATGCAGGCCCCACAGGCACCATGATGAAGATGAGAACTGTCATGTCCCCCCAAAAGTGCTCCCTTTGGACCCCCTTCCCTCGCTCCATCCTGTGTGTTCTTCCTTACACTATATTTTCTTTTCTTTTTGGGGGGGAGGGATAGTGGGGGTGGCCACACCTGCTTTACTCTGGGCTTACTCCTGCCTCTGGTCTCAGGGCTCCCCCCAGGAAGCCTTGGGAGACAGACCCATTGTGATGCTAAAGATCCAGCCTGGGTCAGTTGGCTGTACGTAGGGCAGGCGCCCTGCCCACTGTACTGTCTCACCAGCCTCTTAGTTTCTAATTTTTAGCAGTTAATGGTAATTTGGTTTTATATTTTTATAATTACTAATATTTTTTAGATTTCAATGGGAAGAAAGTAAATCAGGTGAACTCAGTTCTGTTGTAAGTGTTCACTGGCTTATTTTTATTTTGTTTTTCTCCTGTGCATTGATTTTTATTTCCTTACACATGTGAGTGAAATTATCCATACTTGTTGTATTTCTTTTGACTTATGTTTTGCATAATCTCCTCAAGTTCTTTCCATTTTACTGTGAATGGCAAATTTTCATGCTTTTTTTAAAATCACTGAATAGTACTCCATTGTGTGTATATACATGTGTGTGAATATATGTATCACATTTTATGGATCCAATCATTTATGATATGGACAGACTCATTTTCATATCAGCTCTTTTAATTAATGCCGCCCTTTTTTTCTTATTGTAAAAGTGGTTTTCATTTTGCATTTTCATTAAAAAGGAAAATTCAGGTAACAGACTACTTTGGTATAGAGTTTTTTGGGCATGCGTATATAATTTTTAAATATATAATTATCTATGCTGTAGTTGAATAAGGCTGGAGCGATAGCACAGCGGCAGGGCGTTTGCCTTGCACACGGCCAACATGGCCAACCCGAGTTCGATTCCTCCACCCCTCTCGGAGAGCCCAGCAAGCTACTGCGAGTATCTCGCCTGCACAGCAGAGCCTGGCAAGCTACCCGTGATGTATTCGATATGCCAAACACAGTAACAACAAAGTCTCCAATGGAGACGTTACTGGGCCCGCTCGAGCAAATCGATGAACAACAGGAGGACAGTGACAGTGACAGTGATGCTGTAGTTAAATAGATAAATGATATATATTTATACATATAATTTTAATGTACATTAAGAGTCTACATTTTAGTTCACATTGCCTACATTATTTTCCTTTATCAGACTTTTCCTCTGCTCTTATGCTCCATGACTTTATAATTAAACACAGGCAGCTGCCCATCCTCATTTTTTTTTCATGCCATCTGCCTGTCAGAGACTGTTCTAGGTCCTTAGAGAACAGCAGTGAACAAAACACACTTTCTTGCCCCCATGAAGTCTCTGTTCTAACAGTGCTTGATAGCCAGTAATCGTAGGTAAGTGAATTAATCGTGCCATGTGCTCCAAGGTGATGCTTGCTGTGATATAGAGACAGGAGGAGAAGAAGGGAGGATTTGCAGTTTGGACGGGAGAGCCTGACCTGTGACCTCAGGCACATCCCAGCCCAAGAATGGCAGGGAGGTGCAGGGTCCCACGAAGTGGAGAGGGGCACCAACACCACTGTGTTTCTGTGATCTGTGTCAAGACACAGCTAGAGAAGGCGCCCTGGGCAGAGGGTACACCTATAATGCTTCTGACAGCGGCTCTTATCCACCCACTGAGGGCTAGAAGCCCCTGTCTCCAGGACCACCCTGCCACCCCTGCTTTAGAGAGAGTTGAGGCATTTGCATATGAGAACTCATAGGAGTGCCTGCTCAGAGTCTTGTAGCAGACCTCCGATTTCAGCATGAAGAGGGACCCCCGACAAGTCTAGAGACTCCCAAGGAGAGGATGCTTCCTCTGTGCTCATTCAGTAAAGGGGCAAGGCAGGAAACTGACCAGAGCCAGGGAGAAGGCTGCCAGGAGTTGCCTAGCGGGCCACTCCAGGAGAGCTCTGCAAACAGAAGGCTCAGTGCCCACCTGTCCACGAGAGGCGTGGAGTGGATCCCGCTAGCCTCTCACTGCCCCAGGCTTACAGCGGCCACTCCAGCTTTGTGCCAGCAAGGACTGTTCACTATCTGCTCTCTATGCCCAGCACCTGCAACGATGGTGTGTACCGAGTGCTCAGGAAGCATCTGCTGGTGTGAGCTGTGCTTCTCCCATCATCAAACTTGCCGGTCAAGCTCTGTCCTCTCAGGAGCCTCCAGGATCTCCAGCCACCTCTAGGCCCCAGATGACCTGGCCGGCGGACCCAGACTCCTTTGATCACGCCCTTTCCTGCATTTCTGTTTCAGGATAAAATTGCCCCTCACGGTTGATGAAATCACCAACTTTGGGGAAAGCAAAAGGGAACTGTTCGTGAGATCTAGTACCTACAGCCTCATCCCCATCACCGTGGCTGAGGCAGGCCTCACCATCAGCTGGGTCTTCTCCTCTGACCCCAAGAGCATCTCCTTCAGCGTTGTCTTCCAGGAGACCGAGGACACACCGCTGGATCAGTGTAAGGTAAGGCCACTCGTACATTCCTCCTCCCGGAGCAGGGCTGGGGCCAGCTCGCCTCCAGCTGGGCAGGAGGGAACCAGAACCGGGGCACCCTGTCAGCTGCATCACAAGGAGCAGATAGTGCCCCTGGGCTTCTTCAGCTGGGAGAAGAGGAACCCGGGGACCCAAGAAAGATTTCATCCTGAAGGCCGTCTTGTTCTCAGAGGGCTTTGGTCTGATCTGCAGGTGAAACTTGGAGAAATCCACATAGATGACTTCATCTAAGGCTTGTATTTCAACAAAACTGTCCAGGACAGGAAGAAAATTGACCCGAACTAGAGGGTCCCCATGGGAGGAAGTCCACTTTTTGCTTCTGAAGGTAGCTTGTGGTATACAGCATCTCCCCCTAAAGATGTCAGGAGAGACATACCCTTTGTTTCACTTTCTGGGCTTAAGTATCTTGTTGGCACTTTCATACACTCCAAGACAGCCTCGTCATGAAATGTTGACAATCGTCAGCTCCAGTTCTCAGCCTGGGCTGCATGTGACAAGTACCTGGGCAGCTTTTCTGAGGTCATCCTGAGGCCACACCCATACCACTAGGTGACAATCTCCAGGCATCCCTAGGTGATTCCCGGGAGCAGCCATGAGTGACGGCCAGATCCCAGGAATGAAGAGGATAGAGGGGAGTGCAGGAAGGAGAGCAGGATTCTGTTTGATTTGGGAGAGGAAGGGGGAGACCTATGCCCACAGTCTCTGTGGAGAGGGGTCAAGGGCAGATGGAGGCAGAACTGGTTAGGGTGGAAGCATGAATAGTACTTGAAAGGAAAGGAAAGATAAGGACAGCCAAAACATACCCGACCTGCACTCGAAGGAGAGCCGAGGCTGCTAAAATACTTGTAGAATCTCCATTTTTCTGTGAATGAAAAGGATTCAGATAGAGAAGGGAAATTTGAAATTGTTGTGAAACATAACATGTGTGGAGTCATTGCAGTCACATCCACTGGCCCCTTACTTGTGTGACCCTTTGGGTGCCCTCAGGAGGCCCAGGTTGAGGAACGGGAAGGCCTGGAGCCACAGGAAAGTCAAATTGATGCTGAGTGGGGTGCATTGCAGTGTCCACACCAGTTCCAGCATCCTCATGGAGGAAAGTGTCCAGAGGAGCCTGTGCCCCTCCCATCCCTACCCAGTTTGCATCTGCTGCTGGGAGGTTGCTTTGTCCTCTCTGGCCTCTGTGACTTCACTCCAAACATGTCCCCACAATATGGCTTTGATCATTGGTGTCTCATCTAGTTTCTTATTTAAAAACTCCACTGCCTTCCATTTCCTTTTTTGTTTTTTGTTTTGCCTTTGTTCTTGGGCCACACCTGGCAGTGCTCAGGGCTTACTCCTGACTCTGCACTCAGAGCTCACTCCTGGCGAAGCCCGAGATCTCCGTCCTGGCAGTCCCCATATGTCATTCCCTTTTGCACACGTCAGCCTCCCTGCATGCCTGGCTTTGAAGCCTGCCCTTCCTGAGAGCTTCCAAACCTCTAACCAGGAGGTCCTGGGGTTTGAACCCTGAGAGTGGATTCAGGCTTGAGCCCGCACAGAGAGGGTGCCCTCTGTGGGGGAAAGATCTTAGTCCTGGACAAAGTTCTCAGCTCAGGACACTGAACTCAAGAGTGCTTCACTCGGGCAGTTGTTCAAGCAGCATCTCACAGCATCGTTCTGGTGAGCTCTTTTTCTAAAAGCAGCCCCACTGTCAGGAGCTCACCACCAGCACCCTTGCTCTCTGCCCTCAGACTCCCAGCACCGACCGAACATCGGGCACTTTGTCCTCCCAGTTCAGACACTGATGAGTGTCTGTGGCAGGGGAGGGAGGAGGTGACTAAATACATGTCCACGTGATTGCCATTCTACCTGCCCTCACAGAACTGAGCTGTGGGCCTCTCTCCTCATCCTATCCCTCACCTGCCAAGTCCTCATTGCCCTAGAGTCCTGTGTGACTCCTAGTAGGAATGAGAAACTTTGGGACCTGAGACAGAGGACACAGTATTTTGACTTCTCCAGGCAGAAAGTAGGAAGTGGTGATTACGCCGTTTTCCCCACAGTGGACGCTAGGGGGCAGAAAGAGTCCGTCGTCTTTGTAGATCCTACAGCTTGGGTGAGACAGAAGCTCAGACATTCCGCTGCCCCCCCCCCTTCCACCCCCACCCTCCCCTGCCCCGGCCCTCTCTTACCTGTCAGCGGCTTTCATTTGTTCCTGACCAGAGTTTCTCTCCTGGTCGACCCTCTGTGATGCCCTGACCAGCCTAGGCCTTTTAGGAAAAAACAGGTTATCATGTGAATCATACCAGTCACATTTCACGATTATGGAAATACAAGTACAAAGAACTGTACTGGGTGCATTGCAGTCTGTTCACAACCACGAATTGCATTTCTGCTGTATGCCAGGGCCCTCTAGGACCCACAGAGGGGAGAAAGAAACTTTGGGGCAACAATGACCCCATGTTATCCAAAAGCCCTAGAAAACAGACAACCCCGATTCCAAGAGATGTGTGTTAAGATGTAGGCACGGTGGCCGTGCATGTGTTGAGTTAATCAAGGCAGATCACCGCTGGGCTGAACCAGGAGAAGTGGTTGTGAGTGAGAAAGGAGAAAAGGGTGAGCAGCGAAGCAACCAGCAGAGAGCACAGGGCAGCCCAAGCAGCTCCAGGCCAGGTGGCACTCTCCAAGCAGTGACCACTTGAGGCCACCTCTCTAGAGTGACTTCCTCCATCAAGGTCAGACCTCAACACTCAGATTAGAAGTTGTGAATTTGAAAAAATATATATATAATCAAGGACTTAAGGCTACTCTTGGCTAAACTGTCCTGAAAGCTCGCTGAGAGAGTAAAACCCAGGCTCTGTACTAGGCAAAAGGCCTATTCGGGACCAGAGAAGTTCAGTGACCTGCATGGGGCCAAGGAAACATCAGAGGAACAAAAAGGGGCTACTACAGCTATGAGAACATTCTATACAAACCCCATAGTAACCACAAAACAATGATCTGGAGCAGAGACACATCACAAATAAGAAGGAAACTGAGAAAACAAGATAGAAATTGACCTAAATAAAATGGCAAGTGGAAAACACCATGAGAAAGGAACAATGAATATGTAGAATAGCCAGAAAATTTAAAATAAATGATAGCAGAAATCCTCGGTAATGACCCTAGATGTAAATGAACTGAACTCTTCGACCAAAGGGCACAGACTGGGTAGATCGATTTAAAAACAAAACTCAGCTATATGATGTGTCCAAGAGTTCCGCTTCAGGTTAAACATAAATTTAAAATGAAGGGGTGGAAAAATAATTCTCCAAGGAAATGGAACCAAAGAAATCAGGAACAGCAAGCAGGTAAAAGTCTCCTACTGAAAAAGATATCAAAAAAATAGACATGATTTAATAATGAAAAAGACAGACACTGCACTTACTAATACGTATGCATCCAACACAGGTACACGAAAATATATAAAGCAAATAGTATCAGACCTACAGGGAGACATTGATAACACAGTAGAATGTGGGAGACCTTCAGGTCCCACCTAAATCAGTGGGTAGATCATTGGGACAGAAACTCAACAGAAAAACAAGGGTCGTAGCAATCCATTTAACCAGATGGACTGAATAGATACATAAAGTGCCGTCTAAAAGAGTAGAATACTTTGAAATTCTGCATGAAACATTTTCAGTGACACAAAACTAGTCTCAACAAATTTGTGGCACTTGAAATAATTTCAAGCATCATTTCTTATCACAGTGGTATGAAACTCAAAGTCAACAACAACAACAAAAATATGAAGAAATCATAAATATTGGGGTATTAAACAACATGCTAGGGGGCTGGAACAATAATACAGCTAATAGGGCATTTGCCTTGCACGTGGCCGACCCCAGTTCGATTCCCAGCATCCCATATGGTCCCCCGGGAACTGCCAGGAGGAATTCCTGAGTACAGAGCCAGGAGTAACCCCTGTGCATCACCGTGTGTCACCCAAAAAGCCAAATAATAATCATAATAATAATAACAATAATAATAAACATGCTAGTGAATAGCTTATTGGGTCAGTGAAAAACTTTAAAAGAAATTAAGAATTCTAGAAACAAATGAAAACCAGGACATAAGCCAGTGAGGCAGATCACTTGCCTTCCATGTGCAGGCCTGGTACTGCATGCCCGTCTCCCAAGAACCACATGGGAGAACAAGGTAGCACCCAAACACCATCTGAACACCACCGGGAATTGCCCCCACAGCAGTTTTTAAATTTGTTTTCTATTTTGTCAATTTTATTTCCATTGTTTTCTGAGAGGATCAATCTTAGCCATATCTTCCATGTGTTTGGATGTGGTGTTCTTACTACTCTGAAGAGAACGGATGCCCCCCACACCTTTCCCAGTGATGCCTCTTCAGGGAAGTCATCCCTGACATCCTGTCCCTCTCCCCTCCCTCGGTCTGGAAGAGGCATCTCTCCCAGTTTTCCTGTCCTGGCACTTTTCTTATTTATACTCTTTAGTGGTTAAGCATTTTCTTTCTAATTATTGAGGTAACATGATTTTGATGATGTTAACATTCGTGTTTGGGGCCTGCAAAGTCACTGCACTTTTACCAGCACAAACATGTTGAAGATTGTCCTTACTCCACTTTGCTCCTGGCGCTTTTAGCTGCCATATAGACTGTTTTCTTGTCTGTTTATATCCGTAAAACTCTGCCTTGGGGCAGAGACTTGTGTGGGTACCCTCTTCACTCTGGGGACTTTGTGGCCAGGAAGAAATATGCAACTATATTTAAGTTGAAACAGTGATTGTATCTTTATAACTGTTTTGAGTTTAAAACATGTTATAGGTTTAAAAAAAATGTCTAATGGAAAAATTAGAACCAAACCCAGTGAAAAAGAAGCATTCGTTTTGTAAAGCATGAAAGTGGTCACCACAGAAGCTCAGAGCTGCCCGAGAAGCCACTTAGCGGTCAGGAGAACTTTTGTTTACGTTCAGGTTGAAATGAAGACATCACGAGGGAAGTTCTCTAAGCGCTCCTTCTAAGAAAAAATTTTTCTTTCTAATTTTGGTTACTTCTGTGGTACTTCCTTTTTCCTTGTCTCCTATTACATTCTTGGTTTTGAAAAGTGTCTTTGCTGGTCAATGGGTTGAAGACCGCACTCATGGGGAAAAGGCTGGCCTTTTCAGGCACCCAGACTTTGTGTTCATTTGCTCAGATTTGCCCTCTGACCCTGAGGATGTTAAAACATATCTGGAGAAAATGTCCCCTATAACAAATGTCTGGCACTTGTGGAATGCAGAGTAAAGAGGCTGAGGACTCGGACATGTGAAAGAGCTCTGGGACATGTGGATGAACCAGGACAAGGCCAGAAGTGGCAGCCTGTGGTGGACCCGAGAGTGGGTCCCAGAGTGTTGGCCTGGAGGGGAGTGGGCCCAACAGCTTCCCAAGCGAGTGAGAATGTGCAGGGAGAGATGGGGACGAGGTGGCCCAGCCACAGTGCGCTGCCTTGCCTGTACGAGGCCCTGGGTTCAAATCTCGGCACCACCGGGAGGAACCTGGGAGCAACTCTTGCTCGGCATTGTGCTAAAGCAGACAAAAAGGTATAGAAGGAGACCTGTCCTGGACTGTGAGACCCCCACTCCTCGTGGCAGCAGCAGGGCGGGAGGGAGCCATTCCCACAGACTTTATTAGAATAAACTCCAACTTCTAGGGGAGAAAGAGAGAAGTACTCCTTGCCCTGGTGGAGAAGCAGGTGAGCTCTGGGCATAGTCCAAGGAGGCTAGCGCACCACTTATTCCGGGTTCCGGCCAGTTGGTGAGTTTAGCTGAAACTCAAACTCACGGCCCTCCTCCACTGTAGTTTCCGAGCAAACCCAGGGTGTGTGGAAGGTGTTGTGTGCAGCCGCCGCTGCTCTGGGCTCCCAGCCCTGCTCAGAGTCAGGGCTCTGAGGCTCTGAGGGACCCTCTCAGCCTCCATCACTTCTCCTTTGCCCTCCCCCTTCAGGTACTCATTCCTACCACCCGATGCAATTCCCACAAGGAGAGCATCCGCGGCCAGCTGAAGGTCCGCACACCCGGCATCTACATGCTCATCTTCGACAACACCTTCTCCAGGTAAGGGCCACCTCACACAGCACCCAGCCCGCCCACCCACCACTGGGCCTCCGGGATAGAGTTAAACCATGTTGAACTGTTGGTGATTTATCGCCACTCCCTCTGGGAATCCCTCCCCTTGGACTGTGGTGTTTCTGTGCCATCGCCTTTGTGGTCACAGGCTCATGCTGGCAGTGCCTTCGCCCTGTCCTTGTGTCCGAGATGGTCCACTCTGATGGACACACTCAAGTTCCACAGCATTTCCAGGTGTGAGGAACTGGCTTGTTCCCTCCATGTCACCGAGGAGGGCGCTGTGCACCTGTGAGATGAGAGTGGCAGTGCGCACTCACACCACCGTCCCCACAGGGTCAGTGGAACTACCATAGGCAGAGTGGTGGGTAGAGGGTCAGTATTGAGTGAGCATGGACAGTGAGCCAGAAGCCCTACTCCATGGACACATGAGGCAGTGGTTAGGCTACTGTGGGGAAAGGGTATACTCCTCTCTCTTACACTTCTGACTTCAACATAAGCTCTTTCCTGGGACTGCCTGTTTTATGAACTGGACATACTCAGCACCCAACAACCAGCCACATCCACTCCGAGCTGGACCCTGAACTAGTGGCCACATCGCATCTTGGGTTTCCCCGTTCCAGCCCATGATGGTTTTTAGAGATCGCTTGATTAGACATTCTAGGGGAAAGTGGTGCCCTCTCCTCACCAACTTCAGGCCCTGACTCCCCCAAGCTTACAGCCAAGAGCATCCATCAAAGGAGAGGCCAGGAGGGTAAGACTTGCACAGTGTCCTTGTCCCCATGAACAGGAACGTGCCTGGGGGTTGCAGGACTCCCTGGACAGAGAGCGGCCTTCAATCCCCACCTAGTCTAGGGTGACTCCAGGCAGCAGGGGGCAAAAGTCAGGGCTGACCTATGGCATCTAGCAGTGACATGCTCCACCCTGCTCTCTGTGGCCTTAGTGGCCCGTTTCCTCCTAATGTCCGTGAGCATCATCATTGCCTCACTCAGCCTCTGTGTGTGGGTCAGTAGAGAGGCAGGAGAGGGACACTGAGGCCCAGTGCCCTGACAACTCTGACTTTAGTCTACTGACATCAACTCCAGGGCTTCCGGAGATTTCCAAGTCAAGGATAATAGAGCAGATTGACAGGCCTGTGCTCACCCCCACCATATGCCTCATCCCGGTGCTGCTCCCCCCCCCCCCACTCCCTCCTGCAGTCAAAGCCACCCAGAGCCCCGAGATCCCTGGGCTCCTCAGAGCAGCAGCACAGGGCATGGTTCACAGCAGGGGTCTAAAGATGCACTTGTGCTCCCAAGTCCTGGCAGAGTTCATGTTGTCACATCCCACATCCTCTGACCCTCTGCCGGGAGAGAACTCTGGTGGATGAGACTTAGCGATGAGTACATAGCTCAGTGTGTAATCTCCAGGCGACTAGGAAACCCTGCGGCTCTCTCTCATCACCTGTGTTCGGTAGTCTCAGACCACTTCCCCACCCGGGACAGCCAATGCCATGGGCGCACAAAGGAGGAGACAAGAGCCAAGCTAGTTGGTGATCAGTTGCCCTTTATTCCATTCTCCCCACGTGTCTGTCCAGTCTCACTCAGCACCCCATTTCAGTCTCATACTGCCCTCATTCCTGTTTCCTCCTGTTCCCCAGGCTCGTCTCTCTGTGCTCTGTCTCATCACCCTGGTCTTTCTCTAGTCTCTCTCTAACTTCCCACATTGGGGGTAGCCATCAACACCCCATCAGGTAGCACAATCAACATATGAAAGCCCTTCTTCTGCTCAAGGGCAAAATACCACTTGGGGGTGTTTCTCCTTTCCTTAGTCCAATAACTAAATTAACATCTTAATTAACCACTTAATTCTACTTCTTAATATTAGTTATTAGTATGGTCACAGAGATATATTAAGCTTGTAGGGTGGCTCTCCTGGGGACATCTCACTATAGATCTCAGACTACAGTGCTCAGGCCAGATTAATCTTTTATAACCCTAGCAGGGTCCTAATCCAGCTGTTATTTTTTGGATCATGACAGAATTTGTCCATGACCATGCTGTTAGCTTATAGTTAAGTATTATAGTGCTTTGGCCTGGCCCATTTTGATGCCAGGGTAGCTCACAGCTTGCCTTGGGTCCATCCAGTCCCTTGTTTTGGGTTGCTAGGAAGTAAGGGCAACTGAGGCTTAAATTAAGAGAACAGATGCCCAGGAGTGAATATCATTCGGAGTCAATTAACTCCCAAGTTACAAAAGCATAGCATTTAACTGTCTTCCTGTGTCTATACAAAAAGGACATTGCTCTGAATTAACTGTGCAAAGGACTTAAGGAGAAGAGAAAAGCAATATATACAAGTTAACAGAGTCTGATTAAGAGAGAAAGGTGATTGATTGGTTGAGAAAGCAAAACACAAAGAGGTTACAAATAAAACAGAGGAATGGGAGTGCTGTGATGGGAGTAACCCAATAAACATAAGCTCCCTGTGGCAAGGCTGAAAAGAAAAACCAGTGTTATCCTACAGCTCAGCTAGCCAGCCACATCCTTCCAGTCATTGCCCCAAGGGCAGCTGCTGCCTATAACCTCCTTTTCTTTTTTCTTTCCTCAGATTTGTCTCCAAGAAGGTGTTTTACCACTTGACAGTTGACCGGCCTGTGATCTATGATGGAAGTGATTTCCTGTAGCCTCAGCACCTGGATTTCGATGGCTTCACTTTACACTTTATCGACAGGAAACACTACTTTTACTTACACGCCCCATAAATCACTAAAATTAAATATATGTGTATATATCTGCATATTAATACACACGTAAGTATATATACACATAATATACACATATACATATACATACACATATATGTGTGTTATTTTAAATACCTGTTATTTTAAATACATATACACACATACATATACATTGACATGTACATACACATGTATATGTGTATGTATATGTATTTTAAACCACACTGCACCAGCACTCAACCCCTGCAGCTTCTAAGGGCTCCAGCAAGTTCCCATCCAAGAGAGTCTCAGTTGTCTTCCCACCTGAAGGTGAATCAGAAATCCTCTTTGTTCGGGTCTTGGACCCCACTCCCCACCTGCCAGGTCCCTGGCATCCATGCTGCCTACCACCTGCTGCTCGGCCAGCGCCTGACCCCTGGAGATGTGTTCAGACATGAGGATCCTATTCCACCTCTTGGACAGGGAGGAGGAGATTCCCCACCCACCACCACCCCAGTCTGTGTCTCTCTCCCTCCACCACAGAAGAGTCTCGGCAGATTCATACCATGTGCAGAGTGGACATTTGCCCTTTGTTCCATTGCTGTGTCCACTCAGGTTTGTTGTGTGCCACCCAGCCAGGACCTGTCTCGGTCGGTTTCAGTGTGGCTTTGTATGTAAGTCACTTCCTCTTTTGAATGTTGATATTTAGAAACACAAACGGCCGTGAAACACAGCTCTTTCAAGTGGTGGTCCCAGCCAGTAGGCTGAATTACACTGGAAATCGCCAAGAAGGAAAAGTCCTTGGGATCCTTATTCAAAGGAAAAGGACAAATACCCCGTTGGTGGCCCAGCTCTTGGAATCCCAGTCACACTCACTGTTCAGTATCAAGACCCGCTGCCCTGCCAGCCTCACTGTATCTCTGAAGACACTGGCCAGCCACAACCAGACATGCATGCGTACACATCTGTGGGAATAAGGTGGCTGGAGCAGCGCGTTCCTGGCTGGACTCACTTGCCTCAGGTGGACAGGGCCAACTGTGGGCAAAGAAACCCTCTGTCAGGATACTGGAGTGTAGAAATGAGAAGCCACAGGATGTAACATACAAACAAAGGGGACAGTTTTTCTGAAATTTCCACCTGTCCCCTAAGATAGTAAAGCCATTCCAGACTTGGGAAAGGAAATCCGCCCTTAGGGATGAAAACCTCTCCAGTCTGTGTCTTACGATTTGATGTCCACAGAGTTTCATTGATTGGGGTTTCATTTCTGAAGTGTCCACTGACCGCAGGTGTGAACCTCACCCTTGCCTCCCAGGTGCTGCGGATGAAGCAGGGTGCACATGTGTGTGCGTGCTGCTCAACGCCAGGCGCCAGCCGTGGCGCTGCTGAACCAGCCATCCCGTTTACAGAACACCCACCAGACACTTTAGTGGCGCCTCGAGTAGGCGCTTCCCCTGATTGTGACACCTTCCTGGAAGACTGAACGAATGCCTTTTTTCTTCCTCTGATGCAAGTCTTCAACATAGTAAAGGTGCATCTGTAAATTTCAGGAGACATCTTCCATCAAAGGCTTCCTCTGAACGCCCTAAGGAGCGTTCTCTGGTGACTGCAAAGCAGCGCCTAAGCCTCTGAGGGCAGCTTCAGAATTAGAATTGCACTTTAATTGACTCATCCTCCATCCTCAGGGCCTTCGGAGATAGCAGGCCTAGAAGCCCATTTCATTCTGATCTGCCAAAGAGTTACCCAGAAGCACATCAAATGTCAGCACCCCACCTGCCACATTTGGGAGGGGGGGGGATATCTTTTCTATCCCAAAACATAATCCTTTGTAAGCATCCGCTGCACCATTCAGAAATGTTTTCTTTATAATCTCAGGATTCTAAATAAAGCAAAACACTATGACATTGACAGAAGCGTGTCTTCATTCCAACGAGCTATCGGGAATGACGAGATCAGCCAGTGGGGGTCTAAGTGGCAGTCCATGCTGGAGGGTAGAGCATTATCTTGGAACATAGCATCTTAGAAAGGCTGGAGCAAGCAGATGTTCCCAGGGACCCATGGGTACCACCTCCCCACCACCACCCTCATCATCTCTGACCCGCACGCTCTCTAATGCGCTGACCTCAACCCCGATACCCTTCCCCTTGAACTAAGACCAAACTCTGACCTCCCAGAGTCCTGTGGCAGCAGGGCTGGGGGTCGCAGTTCGCTTAGAACAAGGAGCACTTAGAACCACGATTCACTGGCGCAGGGTACAAAGCTGAACGAAAGGCCCCTCCACAACAATTTGCCCTGCAGCGCAGAGCTGGACATGGGCCACGAGTGCCACATTCTTATCACACACAGAGGGATCGAGCTCAGGTCAAGAAGACCCCCTCCCCAGCTTTCTCAGTACCACCCTGCACCAGGAATGATGGGCTTCTTTCCTTGTGAGTGTCCAAGCCTCACAGCACACCTCGAACCTCCCTCCAACCCTCCTGTCCCTGCTCCGGGGGGCACGGAGTAGTGGGACTCTCCTTTAATCAGCTGCTCAAGGATCAGTCGCTCCCACCACACTCTCTCGCACCCAGGTTCTCTCTCCAGAGCAAGGCCCATGTTTCATTGACCACCTCCTTCCCACAGCAGCAAGCACCACACTAGACACAAGAGAAACCCATCACCTCATTGGGTCAGGGGCCAGTCCCAATGCCAGGAGCATCTGTAAGACCATCAACAATCCCGTTAGTCATGGGACAGCACAGAGAATGCCTATGGCAGAGGAGGACAATGGGATGCCTGCAGGAGGAGGCTGGAGGGGAACTTGGTCACACAGTTTGATGCCTCAGCACCTCTTGTTTCAATGACCAAAGTTCTTAGAACAAGCCTCTATGCAGCCAGCCACTTGAAATAAGGACAGATTGGTTTCCTCCAGGATTCCTTTGTTAACTGGACACCCCTGGAGAGGCATGGCAGCCATATGGTACTGGGTGCGTGTGTCTGTCTGTGTGTCTGTGTCTGACGGGGGGGGGGGGGGGGGGCGGAGAGGAGATGCGGTGGTGCTTGCCACATCAAGCACCACACTCTGCAGCTCTTGGCATCAGCACCTCCATGCACTCATCCCACCCACTGACCCACTGAGCCTTGAGTAAGCCAAGATCTTTCTGTGCTTCATCCCAAGCAATCCTGGCCCAGCTCCGTGTCTGCAGGTCCCCTAAAGATTTGTGGGCTCCAGCAGAGGATCCCCAGGTTCCCAGGTGACTCCGAAGGACACTCTTCAGGGTCAGTCCTCTGGGTTTGAAGCTGCATGGGAAAAATCCAGCAGCAGGCGCTGCCCACCCACATTCATTCGCAGAGCAAATAGACAGCGAAAAATGTCTTCTCGCTATGTGAGGAAACAGATTTTGTTGGGTTTTTTTGTGTTTTTTTTTGAGGGAGCTGTTGAAGCTGGAGCCACCATAAACAGGGGGCGCCGAGCTATTGTGAGAATCACTCAGTTTGGCATCGGGTTCAAAGAAAGTTCAGCCTCTTACTCTTCCCACACCCACTGTTTTCTGAAGAAAACTGGTGAGAACCACGCAGAAGCGTGAGTGTTAACCTCTGGTCTTTGATGTGTGTCCACCTCAGGCATCCCCGGCCCGAGCTCTGTGGAAGGACATACATTGTTGTGGTTTCCTCACCCCTCCTGGCATGTCTGCACTGAAGTGCTTTCAGATTTGGCACCTCCCACTGAAACCCACAAGTGTCTCCTCACTGGGGAGGAATTGGACCTTCTCAGCTCAAAAGATGGACCAGGCGGGACAGGCCCAAGGTGGCCACCTTCCAAGAAGGGAGGCTCCTTTTTATCCAGACCAGGTTGGTTATGTGGGCGTGTGGGGCTGAATTTCATCACAAGCTCACTTTTCACTTAAACATAGATGAAATGGTATCTTTGCTTTTTTAATGAAATCACCGTGAGCTACAGTTACAAAACTTTCATGTTTGAGTTTGAGTCATACAATGATAAAACACCTGTCCCTCCACAAGTGCACATTTACGATCAATGTCCCCAGTATTCTCCCCCACTTTCCAACCCTACCCCTGACTGCATGGCAGACAATTTTCTCCCATACTCTATCTCTACTTTTGGGCATTATGGTTTGCAATACAGACACGTTTGGTCCTTTATCTGCTTTCAGCACACATCTCCCATCCTGCACGATCCCTCCAACCATCATTGACTTAGTGATCCCTTCTCTATTCCAGCGCCTTCTCCCTCAGCTCATGAAACAGGTTTCCAACCATGGAGCAATCTTCCTGGTCCTTGTCTCTACTGTCCTTGGGTATCAGTCTCATGTTATTTTATATTCCACAAATGACTGCAGTCATTCTATGCCCCTCTCTTTCTGACTTACTTCACTTAGCATGATACTCTCCATGAGAGATGGTGTCTTTAATGGAATTCTTTCACAAACCAGGATTCGCTCTGGCTGTGCTTGGTCTTCAAACCCTGAGTTGGCATCATGCTGGTGCAAAAGACCGCACAGTTAGATCATGTCGCAATAGCACTACACAACAAGCAGGCAACACGGCCGACCTGAGTTCGATTCCTCTGATCCTCTCGGAGAGCCTGGCTAGCTACCAAGAGTATCTTGCCCACATAGCAAAGTCTGGCAAGCTACCCGTGATGTATGTTCAATATGACAAACACAGTAACAACAAAGTCTCATGATGGAGACGTTACTGGGCCCGCTCGAGAAAATTGATGAACAATGGGAGGACAGTAATACAGTGAACAAGCAGTCTGGAGCCAGAAACTCAAATCCTAGTTCACAAGTCTGCAGTTTGACTAGGAACTTCTTTGGGACTCACTCATGCTAGGTCCACTGATGCGTCTGCTGGTGCTTGGCCTCTGCTCCAGGGAGTGCCAGTCACATGCTTGCAGCCTGGATGGCTGCCAGATCTCAGCAGTTACATTCCTGTGTCTGGTCAGTTGGTTGGTCAAAGAGGGGCTGTTGAGTGGTGAGAGTGAGGCCTTCGTTTCTGAGCTGACACATCTCTTGGCCTTATTCTGTTGATTGAAGCAAGTCACCGATTTGAGGGAGAGGTCATAAGGTCATGTTGTCAGGGTGTGGGGACCAACAAAAGTGAAAAATTTGGGAACATTTTTGCAGTTATCACAGAATAAGAGGCCCCTCCCTCCCTATTGCCCCCCCCCCCCCACGCACACACACACACACACACATTCAGTCTCAATTCTCACTTGTCATCTTCAGGAAAATTTTTGCCTTCTCTCCAGACACAAAGACACATATGACTTCTCATGGATCACTGTGATAGCAAAAAGAAGAATGTGTTTTTTAAAAGGGAAAGGGCAAGGGGTTGGAGCGGTAGCACAGCGGGTAGGGCATTTGCCTTGCACGTGGCTGACCTGGGTTCTATTCCCAGCATCCTATATGGTCCCCTGAACACTGCAAGGAGTAATTCCTGAGTGCAGAGCCAGGAGTAACCCCTGTGCATCACCGGGTGTGACCCAAAAAGCAAACAAAAGGGGGGGGTGGTTGGGAAAGGGCAAGAACAAGGAGAGGACAGACTCAAGAACTGCATAACCATACCCTGGAAGACAGGGCCACAGAACATAAGTCACCCACATATCTGGCTGAAGCCACTTGAAGTTTAACTGTGGCAGTTTATGATAATGGGGCTTGGGGCATCTGCCAGGACCTGGGAGAGGATGGCAGAGGTGGGAAACTTGCACTTTTCTCTTGATTACTCATCAATACAATAGGCTTGTTCAATTGCATGCAGTTTGGCAGATTTGTTAAATCTGGGAAGAACACATTCACATCAGTTGATGACTATCTACATTTCCCAATATACCAGCAAATATCCAGTTCTAACCAGCTGATTCATAACAAAGTGGTTGTTATTGTCTTCCCCAGAGGGTCCACCATGCAACCTTCAGCAGGCCAAAACAAAGCTAGGGAGGGGGCTGGTAGAAAGCCATGCTACTCAAAGTTCCTGCTGCCCTTCCTTGGGGCTGGCCCAGGTAGGGTCTCCCATCCTCCTGACCCAGACCTGTGTGAGAAGAGAGCACCCTACATTCCACAGGGGAATGATCATCGAGAAAGAAGGGTTCGACAAGATCAGATTCTAGTAACAAAAACACAAGTCCAATTTTCTTTTCAGAGGAGGCCCACACTAAACTGTGCTTGGGGCTTGCTCCGAATGAAGTTCTGAGGACCATATGCAGTACCAGAGATCAAACTGAGACTGACAATAGTCTAAGGCATAGCTGTACCCTTGTATGATGCCTCTGGTCCTTGGATCTTTTCATCTGTAGAAAATGGATATTTTTTAGTATTACAGGTATAGACCCTGGCCTTCAAGTACTACCACTGCCAACACCATTACAACAAGGAAAAGCTATCTCTATACACCTTGTTGAATCCTTTTTCCTCTTTTTGGCTCTTGGTGGTAGCTTGGCAGTTGAAGGATTGAGTAACTGGGGGTCGTTGAAAGACAGGTTAACTTACAGAGTAATAGCTAGGTTTTCAAAACCTAGTAATAGCTATCAGTTTCAAAATATGACCACAAAATTACTTGGCATCCTCTCATAAGAGGTTGGATCTATGACCACTCCTCTTGAATATGGGCCATCCTGTGTCTGCTCTTACATAACAGCCAAAGTAACACTAGGTGACTTTTGGTGCCACATCAGAAAAATAACAGCTTGACTCTGGTTCTCTTCAACACTCGCTTAGGGGAAGCCAGGTGCTATGTAAGAAGCCTGAGTCCAGTGAGGTCTCTACACTAAAAAGTCCATGGACTGGCACTCTGGTTTGCAGCTAGCATCAGCTCTGGCCACAAGGGCGGAACCCTCAGGCCAGCTTTCAGTCATCCACAGCCGCAGCCATTGTTTACCTCACACAGGAGCCAGTCCCAGAGA